CGGGCAGCTAGACGGTGTCGTATTACCCTCGATCGTACCTGTCCCGTACCTATTCCCTACCGTACCGTGCCATCAAAGATGGCTGGCCACAATGCATATTCAAATAGGGCTTTCAAATGCAAGATCACAATGTGAAACAACTTGGAAGAATTAGTATGTATGCGAAGTCTATCGGGGGCCGCATGCAGGGCGCGCGATAGTGCGGGTTCGAATCCCAGGTTTTAAAAAAAGGATTTTTTTAAGAAAACATCCCTATGCTTTTTTTTGTCTAGATCATCAAGGCAAAAAAGCATAGCGTAGGGCCCTGAGCTTCCAAGCTCTCTCGTTTGGTATTTGTGTGTTTGTTTGTTTGTGTCACGCCTGGCGCTATCCCGTATCTGACGGCAAAAAATCATAGGGATGTTATAAATTTTTCAATTCTCCTTTTTTTCAGGCATATCCTGGGATTCGAACCCGCACTATCGCCCTACATGCATTCCCCCATACACTTCGCATTCATACCCATTCTTCCAAGTTGCTTAACGTTATGATCTTGCGTTTGAAAGCCCTATTTGAATATTGCGGGCAGCTGTATGTGGCCAGCTGTGTTTGATGGAACGGTACGGTACGGGAGACGGTGTCGTATTACCCTCGATCGTACCTGTCCCGTACCTATCCCCTACCGTACCGTTCCATCAAAGACGGCTGGCCACAATGCATATTCAAATAGGGCTTTCAAATGCGAGATCATAATGTGAAGCAACTTGGAAGAAATAGTATGTATGCGAAGTGTATCGGGGGATGCATGCAGGGCGCGCGCAATAGTGCGGGTTCGAATCCCAGGTTATGTCTAAAAAAAAGGAATTTTTTAAAGAATTTATAACATCCCTATGCTTATTTGTCTGGGTAATCAAGGCAAAAAAGCATAGCGTAGGGCCCTGAGCTTCCAAGCTCTCTCGTTTCGAAATGGCATACTAGTACATGTAGATGTATATCACCAGACAGTTTCCTCCGTAACTGATAAATAATGCACTTCAAAATGCACCTAAAGTCCTACACCTAAAGGTGAGTTTGAATTCTTAGCTACATGTGTAAAACATCACTCACAGTAACGATTAATAGCACTTACTCCTATCTCTAGTCTAAACTATTTACAGAAGCTTGGTTCAACTGCAGCTCCACAGATTCAGCTACATGTAACATCTAATCCACGCGCTGACGAGCGAACATACTACTGTACTTCAAAACACGAGTTGTGTTTATCTACTTTAACTCAATAAACTGTAAATAGATGTATAAGGAAGGACATCTTATGTAAGATGTATGGATCAAAGGAGAAAGATACACATCTTATGTAAGATGTATGGATCAAAGGAGAAAGATCCTTCTGATCTTGCCCGACGTTTCCTTCATATGACAGCTGAGTGATGTCTTCCTCCTCCTATACTTTTACCAAGTTTACCATGCATACATACTTCAAGATACTTGTCTAGCACGTCCACAGTCCATGTACCGGTACAACCATCAATGTCATCCTGTACGATTAGCACAGTTCATACTCCAGATTTTGGGAAAAGTTTGACCTGACCTGGGATAAATGCATTATCCCATTCGTAGTTGGGGTATACCGTATCTTTCATATTTTCCCTCGTACCTGCGGTAGTCAGGAAAATATTCGGCGGTATACCCCTCGTACTCATGGGATAATCCATACTCACCGCCTGGAAATGTCACGTGGCCAGAAGTTGTTCGACGCTTAAGGCCGATTCATACTTCATGTCGCATACGGGAAACGCGTCGCGTCGCGAAAAAGTTGATCGGAGCTCAACTATTTCCCGTACGCGAGATGAAGTATGAATCAGGCTTTATGATGATGGCATTGTCTGCGGCACTGCGACCCAACCAGAACAAGCCAAAACTCATCACCTCAAAAAAGCGCTTGTCGTATGGAAACGGGACTTCGGGTCTCAAGCGCATAAACATCTCCTCTCTCCGACAAAGCAATACACTCGATGAGATATTCTAGAATTTGACCTACCGTAAAAGCAGAAATTTTCGGCGGTGTAATATTTTCGGTATTCTCCAAAATCGGCGGTTCGGTTGAGGGAAATTTTCGGTAAAACCCGTTCTCCAGGTAAGTGTGCTACAGTACTACATGTATACGGTATCGATTTTACTGAAATTTTCGGTGCGTTTTATTTTCGGTAAAAATTGTCGGCACCGAAGTTACTGAAAATAAAACACCACCGAAAATTTCTGCTTTTACAGAAACCACGCCGAAAAACAATGCGAAGTCGGATTCTCCCATATGAAGTATTGAAACTTGTTTTTCCACAGAATCAGGGTCTGGGTTCGAGGGAGCGAAGTCACAAATGACAATGGGTCCGTTTGGCCCTACAATAGGGGATTCACACTCATGGGGAAACCTGAGGTCACGGGACAAGGTACAAGTTCAGACCTTCGGTCAACAGAGTGTGGCCGTTCACACCCATGGTCAGCTTTCCCTTGGCCGTATGTTTGGCAATGGATTTGTGGTGGGGCAATTAAAAAATTATCTGTAACTGCATTTTTGTAGTACGTTCTGTGCACGATTTTCCGATGGGCACTGTCTAAAAATCCAGGTTGCGATGCACCCGTACAACTACGGATTCAGAGTTCTCGCCAAAGACAAGATCTACACACGTGCATCGTATAGCCATGGGATATTTCTCTTGACAAATGTCCTGAGGCCCACGGCCACGGCTTTGCCAATATTTTCCCGAGAGATTCTTCCTTTCCCCAAGTACCATAGTTTCTATAACAACTTTCCCATAACCGTGGTTTTACTCGTGTGTGTGTGTGTGTGTGTGTGTGTGTGTGTGTGAATCCCCTGTAAGGTAAACTTAAGGAATACTAGTCAGTGATAACCATAAGTTGTTGTTGTTTTTGTTACTTTATTTTACTTCACCAGAATTACAGGCAGTAGAATGCCTTCTCACTAGACCAGGTCTAGTTCTCACAAATGATGAAGAACAAGTGCAAGAATCAGGGCCTGGGTTCGAGGGAGTGAAGTCACAAATGAAAATAGGTCCGTTTGACCCTATTAGGTGAAGTCAAGGAATACTAGTGATAACCACAAGTGCAAGCATTGTACATGAGAAAACACAACCAGGGGCATTAATAGGCCATTCACACGACGTGTAAACACTTGCACGTGTGTGACCAAGATAACACTGGCAAACCGTCATCCAGTTCACACGGTGCTGGGCAAACTTTACAACCGTCAATGTATCCATAGTGACCTCCTGAAAATACCGGGAAATGGTAAATTTAAAATTTTCCATGGTTCACGCAATGCAAGTTTATCGTATCCGAGTAAATATTCTTCGAAACGGTACGATAAAAGTGAGTTATTCGTCCATACTATGCATGCGCAAAACATGCGATGGGCACTGGACCTTCATCGCGAGTCTCTGTTTCGCCGTCTTGAAACGAACAAGTTTTCGTACCTGACGATGGCAATTGTGACGAAACGATGTACGTAAAAGGAATCGGTTCGGTTTGCAGTGCTGTGGGAATGGGTGTGTCCACCCAACTACTCTCTTCAAATTTCTCTCCCGGTTAACCCTCTCAGCGCCACGGGCGACTTTAGTCGCCCAGAATGAGTATGTGTGTACAAATATTTTCGTATCTCCACTTCTACACACAGGAGAGTAACAAACGACCACTCTACGTCTCCGGGAAGACCTTGGCTATCCACTTATCACATCGGTTTGTGTCCGTGAGGATACACGTCGCCAGTGCGAAGCCTGAAGTGCGCGTGCTCAAACAAACAATTGTCGCAAGTTAAAACATGATGTGGAATATTGCATGCTTGTCAGATAGTGCATGCTTGTTAGATATTGCATGCTTGTTAGAGATTGCATGAATAAGAGTATTGTCACAAACTAATGGTTCGCACCAAGCATACATACAAGCATACAAGCAATTGATTATACAGTCTTCTTTCTTCTTTCTATCGTGTCTTCTAAAGTATTTTACTAACCTTTTGCGCCATGGTACGTCTACGACGTTCCCATGGTCTTCACGTACGACATACGGTTTTCTAGCCCTTTTTCCTGGAGCTTGTCTCCTCGTGTCGTTTTCTGTTTTCATTGGTTTTACGTTGTCTAATGATAAGCAACAGTTTGAGTTTGAGTCTAAGAGAACCCAAGATGCGCTCGCGTTGAGCCAAAGCAGCCTTACAATATAACCTTTTGTAAACATGACGTATGCGCATCTCGGGTTTCTCTATTTCTTTCGCGGCAACCCATGCGTATTGAGTATCAAAACATCGAGATTTTCAGTGGCTTTCAGGCCAACTTTGTCCGAATTTTTAGCGTTCAAAGTTAACTGCACTGCGATCGATGGCGCGCGTGAGAACGCGCGGCCTCTACGAAAATGCAGAAAACGGACATCGCTCAGGCGCCCTCGCGAGGAAGACTATTTTCGCTGCATTTTCTCTTCACAGCTGTCTGCCTGATCTTGATATCTTTCCAGAGAGCTATCGTTTGTAAAGATCCGTGGATATACAGCTGAGCTATGAAAAATTTGAGTTCAGCTCAAGTCAGAAAAATTTGGATTTTCTGACCCCTTGGCACTGAAAGGGCTAATTGATAGCTTGTTATCAAGCCCATAGCGCATTTCAATGAAACCCATCCAAGCCACTCACGCGCCCACAGACTCATATTTTCTGCCTTGCACAATATTACTAAACAGTACAGCATGTGCAGTGCAGAATCAGGTGGAACACATGTTCAGGATCAACACGTGTAAATATTTACAATGTGAACGGCAACATGAGGGGTGTGATGGTGCCACACATCTCATGGACAGCTGTACAAATGTAGGACATGGCGGTGGTAAGTGCACCTCACGTGACTCACGTGACACCTAATCACTGCATAGTTCAACCAATCAAATGAACGACACGCTGTAATGAATACTGTATACACACAGTCCATCTAAATTCAGTCACTCACAGTCAAGTCTATTCAACATACCTTCGCACTCTCGTGCTCCAGCAGCAACTGCACACATCCCTCACGTTTCTCTTGCCTGGCTATGTCCAACGCTGTTCTCCCATCCTGAGTAACTCAACAACACATCACAGGGACAACAGAAAAAAATATTCGTGAAAATTCGAATTTTACAAAAACGAAAACACAACGAAGGGCAAGGACATAATCTACAACGAGACGAAATCAATCTCTCCACAAGACGACTTACATGTACAGAACAAGTCTCTCCTTCCTCAGCAACATTGCTACTCCATGCATCCACAGTAAAAACTCCAGTTCATGCCTCGACAAATTTGAATATTTTTTACAGATTTCTACTCAAAACAAAAAAATCCACGACGAGAGGAAGACGTCCAGATCGCCTGCTCCACGTCAGGAACAACTGCATAGCTTCTGTGTACTCGTTACAATGACAACAATTGCAACTTTTCACTCTTCACTCGTTCCAACAAACACCATCATACAAGGGAGGTTCTGCTCTACGTTTTGGGAACGCGACGCAAAGAATCACGCGAACTTTCTTCGCGTTCCCGTAACGTAAAGAAATGCTGTTCTGCTCTACGTTTCACCTAGAGAAGTCACGTGGAATGTGTACTGGGGATTTCCCCTTCCATATTTGGCAGTTTTCTGCATGCAGTTGATCGATACCCAGCAAATCCGTACGCATTTTCTCTGCGTGTGCCGCAACGTAGAGAACCTCATCTCCGCGTAGAAATCTGGAGCCAAAACACGCGAAGCCGTAGACTCTAACCCAGACACCTGCTCTCTACGTGATTTCTCTACGTTTCACGTATAGCAGAACCTCCCTACAGTCTACTCGAAATTCTTCAAAACTCGAACCACAGAGTGAGTATGACCACGTGGCGATATTGTACGCATGACGTCATCGGGGTACAGTACACATTCTGACAAGAGGTGAGAGAGAGCTGGAGAGGAGAGTTGTGGTACTTGTAGCAGTAGTACAGTGCTGCCGGGCAACTGAAATCCGACCCCCTTGGCGGCGCGGCGGCAAGGGGGTCGGATTTCAGTTGCCAGCACTGTAGGTGTGTATGTATGTGGGTGAGAGAGTGAGGGGCACAGAGAGAGAGTGAGGGGCACAGAGAGAGTGAGGGGCACAGAGAGAGAGAGAGAGGGGCACAGAGAGAGAGAGAGAGAGAGAGAGAGAGAGAGAGAGAGAGAGAGAGAGAGAGAGAGTGAGGGGCACAGAGAGAGTCAAAGGGGCACAAAGAGAGAGAGTGAGGGGCACAGAGAGAGAGTGAGGGGCACAGAGAGAGAGAGTGAGGGGCACAGAGAGAGAGTGAGGGGCACAGAGAGAGTGAGGGGCACAGAGAGAGAGAGAGGGGCACAGAGAGAGAGAGAGAGAGAGAGAGAGAGAGAGAGTGAGGGGCACAGAGAGAGTCAAAGGGGCACAGAGAGAGAGAGTGAGGGGCACAGAGAGAGAGTGAGGGGCACAGAGAGAGAGAGAGAGAGGGCACAGAGAGAGAGTGAGGGGCACAGAGAGAGAGAGAGAGTGAGGGGCACAGAGAGAGAGTGAGGGCACAGAGAGAGAGTGAGGGGCACAGAGAGAGAGTGAGGGGCACAGAGAGAGAGTGAGGAGCACAGAGAGAGAGTGAGGGGCACAGAGAGAGAGTGAGGGGCACAGAGAGAGAGAGAGAGTGAGGGGCACAGAGAGAGAGTGAGGGGCACAGAGAGAGAGAGTGAGGGGCACAGAGAGAGAGTGAGGGGCACAGAGAGAGAGAGTGAGGGGCACAGAGAGAGAGTGAGGGGCACAGAGAGAGAGAGAGAGTGAGGGGCACAGAGAGAGAGAGTGAGGGGCACAGAGTGAGAGTGAGGAGTACAGAGAGAGAGAGTGAGGGGCACAGAGAGAGAGAGAGAGAGAGAGAGAGAGAGAGAGAGAGAGAGAGAGAGAGAGAGAGAGAGAGAGAGAGAGAGAGAGAGGAGAGAGAGAGAGAGAGAGAGGCCGGGGCACAGAGAAAGAGTGAGGGGCACAGAGAGAGTGAGGGGCACAGAGAGAGAGAGAGAGAGAGAGAGAGAGGGGGGGGGCACAGAGAG